ATATTTTAATAAGTTAAATGTGTTTTACATATTTTGAGTGATTATTTAGTTTGAATGCAAAAATATACATTTTTACCCCCTCATTATGTGTCTTATAGAGGTTGAGTGGTCAATTCTTGTATTAAGGGCGATTTGATGCTTATGACCATTTGGACAAGTGTATTAGGACTATTGAGTGTAGTTCAAGCCCTTGTATTGGCTAATGGCTTATGATTTGGAATTTGGACACTTTATTGATGGTTTAGAGGTAAAAATGTGAAGTTTCAGTTCTAGGTCTTCAAATTCTTCATTTGATGTCGGATTGATATAAAACCAAAATTATTAGTTAGATTATAAAATTTTTGGCGTGTGGGCACTTGAATCACCTTAATTGGAGGTCTAAGTCAAAAGTTATGCATATCGAAAGTTCATGGTTGGTAGCTGTTATGATAGATGCTGTCATGAAGTCTTGGCCGCGGTTTAAAGAATGTTTGCCGTAGCTAAAAGGTGGCCGAGAGCTTTTGGCTACAGTCAAAAGGGAATTGGCTATAGCCAAGTCTTTACCAAAAGTGTTAGTCATAGCTTGTTATGCTCTGGCCGCAGCTAAGTACCCTTGTTATGCAAACATAATCTTTTTCACTTTATTTTAACTTGTTTTTAACTCTAATTGATATTCATGCTTCTCGAATACTTTTTAATTTAATTTATAGTGTTTAAATAATCTTTTAAACTTGGCTTTGAGATTAAATAATCAATGTGATCTTATCTCTACAACATTTTCCTTACTTAACCTTTTGAGTTTTTATCTTGCCAAGATTAATCTTTTTGTTTTCATGATATTTCTTATTATTGATTTAATTAGTTAGAATGAATCTTTACCTTAAGGTTAATTTCTATGCTAACTATGTGTTTAATTAATAGAGGTATTACACCTATAATGGCAGTAAATATTATAAAAATGCCACTATTTCTACTTTTAATAGAGAGTACCTTTTAATTCATGTAAAAAGTTTTTTGTAAATGATAAATTTTGTACTGGTATGACCTTCTTAAAATTCACAAGTGACTATCTTTAAAATTCATAAGTTAATGATACATAAATCATAAGGGGAAAAACTTATATAGTTAAAGTATTTATTAAATGAAGATATATGACTTTTTTTATAGATTATGTATTTCATAACAAATTCTTGTTATTAATATTACATCCTCCTTTTTAAATTATAATACACTTTTAGACAAAATCTCACATACTAATAAAACTCATTAAATACACTTTACAACCTGTTTTTTTTTTTCAAGACAAAAAAATAAACTTTTAAAATGTCCTTCATTTAATACTCTAGGGTAATATTAAAAAAATATAATTAATGAATCCTTATTTTTGTCAAAATGTGTCATATTTTGAGATGCTGAATCTTTTCTAAAATTGTTAATTTAGGACGGAGGGAGTATTAATTAACACATGCATAAAAACTTACTCGTCTTAATTAACACATGCATAAATACCTAAGTCTCATCCGTTCATAAAATTATTTTTCCATTCACAATTGACTTTCTATAGATTCACAAGTAACATTCATTTAAATTAGAAACTAACTTTACTTAAATTCATGAGTTACATTCTATTATTTACTTTAACAATTATTTCCCCTATTGAAAAATATAAATCATTTTTTCTTAGGTTAAATGTTAAAAAATATAAGACATTGTATATTCTTAAATGTGTAATTAATGAGTTTTTTTTAAGAATACCCTTAATAATTAAATCATTCAATCCTTCACCTTTAAGTGAGACACACTATTGAATAAAAACGAACACAAAAAGATGATATATATTTACAAATAATTTACAACTAACAAATTGGGGTGTTATTCAATTAAAAATATCTTATATTTTTAAATAAAATGAGTATTCATTTTTTAATTATAAATAAAGATCATGACCCCTTCCATGATATTTCAATAATTCAAAATATCAACTGATTAATGTCTCATAAGATTTGTAATTGAGGGAGTACATAATGAGTAATACTATTAATTTATCACAGAATTTAGCCGATCAAAATTCATCCTTGTTAATTGTTGTTGCTTTTTCAACATATTAATGGGCCGTTTGGTTCAATGCATGCATTGCAAGAGAATAACATGTAATCCTGATGTACTCTTTCCATTCATATTGTTTGGTTGGTCCATTGTAATGTAAAAGGGATTGCTTCAAATGATGTATTAGGGATTACATTACTAGACTTATGGAATCCCCATTCTCATTGCCTTCTAACTTTTCTATCCTCCTCATCTTCATCGTTGTGCAAGGCCGCAACACACCATCGACAACCTCACCCTCCTTCCTTCCCATTATCACTAAACTTGAACTTCCTTCTTGGTGTGCCTCCTTCCTCAACCTTGGCAGCAACGACATTTACTCCTTGCCATTGGCGACCGCCATCAACAACACCACACCATTTGAACCAAAACTAATTCACGACAACAGCACTTGTTCAATTAAGCTCAACTTTTGAAGGTTTTCAAAAGCTTCATTGTTGTTGTATGTATGATTTCTGATTTTTTGTGCAAGGAAGCCGTGGCTTATGTTTGTGCAAGGGCGATGGTGGTGAAGATAACAGGGGGAGGTTTTTCTTAAAGGGTATTTTTGTATTTTTAATTTTATTTGAATTTAACAAAATATTAAAATAGATTTTATTTTACCATTTCCCAAATTTCATACCAAGTAAACTCATGTAACTAACATTACATTACATTATATTCTATTCCCTATTATTGCATTACAATACATTAGCATTAATTCTGTGAACCAAACGGGCAGTGCAACGCACGTTTTCCATGAATTACAAGATTACTTATTTTATTCATTTCTACTTTTAATTCTATGTTCCTTTTAGTCTTATAATTAAATATTAATAAAGTCAGAATCCAGATGGATTGAATTTTAATTTCTCTCCAAATAACACCAGTATTCCTTTTTTTTTTTGGCCAAATACTACTAACACAGAGTACTAAAGTCGAATCTTCTTATAATCCGTTTGACTTCTCATATCGCCCGCGGGTTGACTATTATTTTGTTCAAAGATTCGATATTTAAACAGTTTATTTTTTAAAAAAACCAACAATTTTGAAACACGTTAAATTAGTGAAAAACAATTCAGACAATTCCGGTTAATTATTGGAGTTATTTATTATTTCATCGCGTGGTGGTTGGAATTGAATAGGCCACGTGCTATCCTTGGAATAAGCACGTGAATTATAATGCGCTCGCAGTATCCAAGGGCAAAGTCACAAAGATTCAAAGCACCGCGTCTTTAACAGTAACATTAATATTTTGTCCAAAAAAAAAAACAGAAACATTAATATATTTAAAGGAAAATGATAGAAAAATTTATTTAAATTATGTAAATGATAAATTAGTCGTATGAAATGACATAATTCTCCTGGAATCCTGTGAGATTTTATCATTAGGGAGTTAAAAAAAATGATCCAATTGTCCTCAAATAAAATAAAAATTCTTAGAGTTGCCAATGACAATTAAATTGTTGTGAATTTAAAAACAAAAATTGTAAATGAAAAGTTATAAATTTTCAACATCTGATACATACCAGGACCTGCATATGTAGAATTGTGAATGATTATTGAATTATTATGAATTTAGAAACAAATGTTGTTAATATGAGAATAAAAGTTGTAAATAAAAAGTTACAAATTTTCAATACTTGATGTATATCAAGATTTGCAGATGCAGAGTTGCGAATAACAATTAAATTGTTGTGAATTTAGAAATAAAAGTTGTTATTATAGGAACAAAAGTTATGAATGAAAAGTTACAAATTTTTAATACCTAATATATATCAAGATCTATAGATATGAAGTTGCGAATAACTATTAAATTGTTGCAAATTTAGAGATAAAATTTGTTAATATAAGAATAAAAGTTGTTAATGAAAAGTTGAGAATTTTCAACACTCAACGCACACCAGGACTTGCAGATCAAGACTTGTGAATAGTTATTAAATTATTGTGAATTTAGAAAAAAAATTTATTAATATATAAACAAAAATTGTAAATGAAAAGTTGTGAATTTTTTAATATGAATAAAGGGCAAAAGTATCATTTTTTATAATTCCCTGATGAGGGAAACATAATTTAAATGAATTTTTTTGTCATTTTCTCTATATTTAATGCCTTTTTTTTTTGTATTTCATAGATGTTTCAAAATGCTTGTTTGTTGTATTTCTTTCATTCAAAAATATAAAATATTTTTTAAAAAATTAGATATTAAAAAATATAAAGTATTTTTCATTTTTTGAAGTTTAATCATTGTCTGTTTTTCAAAAGTGCTTCTATTAACAATGACTTTATATTTATTATAGGGTATCTAATAAGGATAAATATAAAAAGATAGGATTAGTTTAAAAGTAGGTAATTATTTTATTAGGGAGTAACATTCAATTATATTTTTAAATAAAGGGAGTATATTCAAATAGTTTACTGATATCAAACATTCAAACTTGCTTCCAAAAAAAAAAATTGTCAACGGAATTATCAAATAGAAGTTGTACTAATATCATATGTTTATTAATAATTTAGTGATAATTACCTACTATTTTATATATATTCAGAGGATTAGTTAAATTTAGTTTATTTTATTAAATATGTTTTAAATCAAATTTTTTTCCAAGTTTACTTTTGAGAATTAATTTTTCTTTCCCTTATTACCAGTAGATTATTCTGCAAATAAGCATTTAATTATTATTTTTCTAAAAAATGGCTAATTTAATTTTAGCAAAGCATTTCACATGCATGAGAAAAATAAAAGATCTGCAACAGCTGTTAGTATAAGCATAAAAGAAATTTCATTTTGTTAATTAATTTTATAATTTATGGATAGGGACCCACAACAATTCCACTAGCCAGCTACTGATGACCGGAAACTAATTAAGCAAGCAAGTCATCTCTATATAAGGTCTTGTCCTTCTTCAAACAAAACATGCCCCAAAATCGTTGACTTCTTTCTTTCTATACTCTCCCTCTAACCATTATATATTTTCTTCCATTGAAGCTTTTGTTTTCTAAATCAGATCCTGCTGAATTGAGAAAAGATGAAGATGAAGGTTGGAGATGAAAGGCGATTCGGTCTTCTGCAGGCAGCTAAGGACTCGGAGTATGTGAAGAAAGTGTATGGAGGATACCTGAACGTGTACATGGAAGCTTTCGGAGAAGAAGGACAGAGATGGGATTTATTCAAAGTGTATGAAGGAGAATTCCCAGACTTCACTCAGCTTCACAAGTACCATGGCTTTGTAGTTACCGGAAGTGCCCATGACGCTCATTCAAATGACCTCTGGGTCCTCAAACTCTGCCTCCTCCTTCAAACCCTCGACGCCATGCACAAGAATGTCCTCGGCATCTGCTTCGGCCACCAGGTAACAATTCAAATCTCCTAAACCCAGATTAGTCGGTAATCAGATATCAGATATGCTAGGATGTTTAAGTGTCCTTTTATTACTATTATTACTCATTTGTTCTCTTATCTCGTTTCCGGATGATCGCTCCCTGTTCCTAACAAGATAGTTTTGCAGGTACTTTGCAGGGCTTTGGGAGGAAGGGTGGGAAGAGCATACACGGGTTGGGATATAGGGATAAGAAAAGTGAGTATAGTTGACAGGGATTTAGCAACTTTCAGATACATGGAGATGAAGGAGGAGGAAGAGGAGGAAGAAGACCTGCCAGATTGTCTGTCGATAATAGAGATTCATCAAGATGAGGTGTACGAGATTCCAGAGGGTGCACAAGTGATTGCTTCGTCAGACAAAACTCGGGTTGAAATGTTTGCCATTGCAGACCACATTCTTGGGATTCAAGGTCATCCTGAGTATACAAAAGACATTCTCCTTAATCTCATCGAGCGTCTCCTCAATAATGATCTCATAGAGGTAATTTAATTATACTATTTTAATTTTTTACTTTTTTTATACAAATCTTTCTTAATTAATTAAATAATTAACTGAGCTTGTGCTGAGAATCTGGGTTTTGTTATTGTTGCAGAGAGGGTTTGCAGAGAGGGTGAAGTGTGGGTTGGAGTTAGCTGAACCAGATAGGAAAAGCTGGGAAAAGATATGCAAGAACTTTCTTAACGGAAGATAGAAGATAAACAGAACTTTCTTCTTCTTCTTTCCAAAACGTGAGGAAGCAAACAATGCTTGTCATGGTGGCAGAAGAATGTAGGAATCAAATTCCCAGACAAGCGGATGAACCTTGGCATATTAACCTGGATAATGTTTTGGATAGAAGTTTGTGGGAATAATCGGGCCCAAGTTGTGCATTGATGACCGTGACGACGGATGACACTTCTAGTTTATTGGTATAATTTCATATAAGGATTGCATACATGACATATATATTTTTGAATCGACCTTAGGTTTGAATTGAAATAAAATTCTAAAACAAAATAATCAAAATATCATTCTTCTAGCATGTTACAGCATAACAAGTAATACAAGGAAAAAATAAAGCTTTTAAAAAGTAATATAATTGATTTTACAAGATACATAATAACAACTTAATTTTTGTCAAGAGAGTTCATAATTAAAGTTATGAAGCTAACAAATATTGTAAGGGAATTGATAAATAAAGTCAAGGAAGAATTAACAAGTTTTCTTGGGCCCTATTTGGTAAGATGGAATCATGAAAAAAGAAAGGGAAACGAAAATGAAATATATGATCATGCTCATTTGATATATTGCAAACATGATTCTAAAGCATTCTGATTCAGCCAAAATTGACAGAATCCAATTCCATCATACACCTCATGGAATTCGATTCTAACGCCAACATAAAGACCGATCGACAACCGCAATAGGAGCCTTTCATCAGTAGCAATGAACTGTGCATTGAAAACATCCTCTTCCTTCAATCTCCACCAATCTCCTCTAGCCACCACTTTTAAAGGTATTCATTAAGGATAGGAAGTGTAGCATCCTGGATTTTTAATTTCAAGATTAAGTTAGTTAATTAAGGGTATTTAATTAACATTGAGTTTTAATTAATTTAATGATGACTAGTGATAGCTAATAGGTCTATTGGTTTTGGATACAGTCTTTGGATTGAGTCGAAAGTGATTTGAGCCACCTGGACTCAAATTTAAGAAGTAATTCAGACTGGATCAATTTGTGTCATTCATTGTTATGAAATGCATCAGTGGATGGTCAAAAATTTTAAATGATCAGTTGGAGAGTGCAACTGCAAAAAGAATAAAGAAATTGAAAAATAGAAAGAGAGAGAGAGAGAGAGAGAGCACAAAGGAGAGAGTAAGGTATGCTAGGAGACAAGTGATTTGGCATTTTGGAAGTGATCGATCTTCAATTGGTTTCATCTTGGTAATTCTTCTACTCTCACTCCTCTTCCACAAGTTTTAGATCAAGATTTGGGGTTGGGTGATGAGCAATTTTTGAACCTAGGACAATGGGTTCGAGCCCATTGGTCGACAACAAAATTTGTTGTATATATATAAACCTTATGTTGAAGATTCATAAATATCGTGTTATGCATACATGAATATTCTATTGAGATAAGAGTAAATGCATCTTTTTGTCCATAACAAAATTTGTAAAAATAGCTCTCGGGCTTGCAATATATTTTCAAATTCTATTAGATTCTAAATGCAAAATTTGTATTCTAGGGGCCCTTAGTGAAATTTTCCCTAGATAAAATTCTCCTTAATACACACATACACACAAACATATCGTCATGTGATCCGAACACTGAGGTCCACTTGTGTAAGGTCTCCCTTACTATTCCACAATTAACTTAAAAAATATGACAATTAAGGGATAAACCCTTAAAGGACTATCAAAGTAGTAAAATTTCATAAAAAGGAAATTTCTCAAATCCTTTTGGAAAGGAACCCCAAATTCAATATTTTAAATCTCAAACAATAATTAATAAGCACAAATAAGAGTTTAAAAGTAATGCAAAAGCTTAGAAATCAATTAGGGTTCAAAACAAATAATTTTAAAATTTAAAAATCATATTTGTGTAGAAAATGACATATATACTATGGCTCATGACATGTGCGCCGTGGCTCGTCTTCTTTGTGCCACGCGCCACGGCGCATTTCATGAAAATGATAGTATTAGTGTTGTCAAAATGACAACACAGGGAGTGAAATTTTGACGTGTCCCAAATCCCCGTCCGACGTTTAATTGAGGTGGTTTCGGTGTCTACATGAAACTTTCTTCTAACTCTAGCTAATGGCACTAATTTTCACACGCAAACTCTTTTTCTATAAAAATTTGGACAAAACTCATTTGGACCACTTTTTCACAAAATTTCACAAATGGGGTGTTCCAACTTAACTACACGTGCCAATATCCTACACCGACTATCTAACCACACTCAATGGACTTTAATGAACTTGTGCAATGCAAACACACAATCAAAAACTCATACATCATAAAATCACCACTCAACCCCAATTTTCACAAAACAAAAGGGGGGAAAACATTGTACAAAATCACCAATTTCATTCCAAATTTTTCAAATTACACATGTTTCTACTTGCACACGTATTTTGGCTCTATCCATGGGTTTACAACCAAAATTCATTAACTCAGGGCACAAAATACACAAGTTGTACATAAGATAATGCAAGTAGTGCAAAAATCATGTCAAATGTTCCTAGCTGGCAGTTGCATTAGCATATACACATGAAAACAACAAAAAGAGGCATATAGAGGATTACTCTACAATCCAAGGCCTCCATGTGTTTCCCTCGACTTAGATCTCATGAACTAGGCCCTGAAATATTGAGAATTGAGGGATGACTACAACTACTCAGTAACTAAGTTTCACCTAACCTATACAATTACATATCAATTGTTAAATAGATGTAATTAGGCAAACACAAAGATATCACATATAAAACATTTGGCCACGATTCACAAAACTAACAACCATGTGACCGGGCCCTCAACACACAATATCATGTTATTTCACAAAGCATAGCATGAGGTTGCAATAATAACAACCATGCGCCCTTAACACATGCCGGACCACAAAACTAACAACCATATGGCCGAACTTATATACATGATCATATACTAATCTTATACCCTCCTATTACCTCCGACATGAAACCGGTGGCTATCATATGGCTATTTCCTTCGCCAACTAACCTAGCCTTCTACTTGTGAGGAGCTACTAGGCTACAGTTAACTCACTTGCTTATGTAATCTAGTTTCCTCCAATACTAACTCACTTACTTATGTATTCTAGCCTCCTTATGAACCGGTGGAAACTAGTTAGGTTCAAGTCTCTTGTAAAATAAGTAAGACAATCCCAAATCAACCATGGGACAAGGGATACCTTTCAATTTCAACGGTCGGTGCCAAGGTAAGTTCTCAATTCCAATGGTCACTGCCGGTACCGCATGGATTTAAATTTATCTACTCCTCTCCCTAGGTGAACTTCCACCAATGATCATGTTATACACATTTCAAATGATATGCATTTTAAACAATTAATTCATGGCACATAAACTCACATATACTCAAATACTCCACAAACTCAACACATTTCTCATCATAATTCTCCGCCCGCGATAACAACCAAAATCAAGTTCATAAATCACAAAGGGTGGCATAATCTAGGTTTTCCTTTTTTAAAACCAGTTCACAAGTCAAAATGCATCATTAATTTAAATCATAAATTACATTTCACAACACAATTAACATTTAACTATAAAGATTAAGTTTCTCCCAATTACCTCAAACCTTTAAGAGGTCAAAGCTTTACCTTTCACACAAAAATACTTCCAAAAGCTTATCCCAAGCTTGAATGGTGCCAAGTTTAACTCACACTACAAACAAGATCAAGAATATCATCATTATTCCAATTTTGAAGATTTAACAATACCAAACTTTGCATATCTATTATATCAATCCATAATTCACTACCCATTCATACCCAATGGGTTCATTAGGTTTTATTAATACACATTATCATTAATAACTCTTCAAACCACCATTAATAAACACAAACCTTTCCCAACTACCACATTAATGCTAATTTTTGAATATTAAATGCTCTACTCAACAAACTCTTGATAAAAGCATCAATCTAGGGTTTATCTATCCTAAACAACTCCCATTATACTCATTCTAATTAATAAAATCGGATCCAAAATCTTATGGACCAAAAATCCATCTTCCAACTTAAACCCTATCATAAATCTCTATGAATGAGGGAGAAAAAGGAAGAATAAGGTATAATAAACTTACCTTGGGTGTTTGAAAGCTTCAATTTATCCACAATAGGAACCAATGCTGTGCCCTAAGAGAACCTAAGCTAAGCTCTTTGGTTTCTCCTTCCTCTTTATTTTTCTCTTGCAGTTATGAAACTAATATATCATATTTTTGGCCGTACACCACGGCGCACACTGCCTTCCGCCGCGATGCATGACACAGAGAGACCCGTTGTATTCAATTCTACCCTTGTGCGCCGCAATGAACTAACCATGCACCACAACATGTGGTATAGAGAGCAAAACATCACTTTTTCTTCCTCTTTCCTTGCCTGAGTAGCCCGCCATCGATACGGACCCACTTCTAGGACTAAAATTGTAATGATTGCACCAAATTAAGCCCCTCTGGCCATATACCTCATTAACTCACTAATCAAATAATTGGGTTAATTAATCATGGTTAAATTTTCTGGAATGTTGCAACTTGCATAAAAGGCATCTTCATTTGGGGTCATAAAAAGCCATGAATTTTGTGGCAAACAGAAAAGACACAAATTCAACTGAGGAGATATGCTCGTGCATAATTCAACATATGGAGTATTAATTAATAATTAATCAGGAGATTTTTTTATTAGAACAAACAAAATTAGCTAGGAGACTTTTAGTATCCAGACCTTTAATTATTTTTCCATATAACAGACTCATATTATGTATGTAAAGTGTGTAAGAGATTAGTTAATAATTAAATCTTAACAAGACACGAGTTTGAGTCCTAAAGTTAAACTGAGTGTATGCAATTTTTATTTCTATGTAGATTAGTCTTTCAAATACAATGTTATTTGCAATATATTTCCAACATCAATTTTTTGCTTAGGATTTAATACGTGTAAATGTTCAAAAATGAGATAGCTTAATTGGAAGTCAAATGTATATCATTAGGCTACATTAAATATACTCTTAAATGTCATGCTTGAAAAAGAAGAACGAAGAGGTTCACTTCCTGCTAAATCTTGATTAAACTTGTAGTTTATAATTCAATTATTTCAGGATTTTCATGCCCTCATCAGTCATTCCTTAAAAAAAAACATATATGAGCATTTTTTTAACCTTTTGAAGCACCTAAAAAACACTTTAAATGTAAGCATTGTTGTAT